GAAAGATTTTGTTCATTTTAAATTGAACTGCATTATTCTTGTGTTTTTATTCTTTTTCGCGAGTACCGGTACTACGAAAAAAAGTAAGAGGCTACATCTCTGTGTGACTTAGTGCTGCAGGGGGACTAAATGTGCACACGGGGAGACTCCCTCCCACGTCCTTGACCGTCACGGTGGAATCCCACAGGGCAGACTGCTAGGACCCCCACCACGTGAAGACCATGAAGTTATATATTCCGTTTGGATGAAGCTGAGGCTTTGGGAATTATCAGCAAAGACATCAAAACTTGATTTAGTCGTTTTCACAATAACACCTGAAGGAGGGAGGGGGACAAAAAAAACCTTATTGCCTCTTATAATTTGTTTTTATGCATTCTTGTAGTCTCCCGGATCAATGCAGTGCCTCCACACAGATGTGGGAATTACCGATTCAATGCTGCTCGGGCAGATAATGCAACACAAATACAATCAGCCGCTGGCGCTGATGAGAAATACCGTTTGCGCATGCTGATTACTAATTACGATAAGGACCGCAAAATTAACCAAGAGCGACGTGGAAGCTGGTTTTTACAATGATGACGCCCTGACGGCGATAACAACAGTGATCCATTGATCCCGGACGAGTGTATTGATGAAGAAAGTAATGCCGCTTGGAAAGACTGGATTATAATAATGCCAATACGCAGCTCTGTGCAGCATATTAGCTCAACCTCCACTCTGATGAACATGTGTGAGTGCAGTGGTGGGATTATGCAAATGGTAAAATTGAAGAAGCTGGCGTTTTCCCTGCCAGTCGACTTCAAAGCTTCCACGACCGGAGATGGAATTAGTGCTCTGCCTAATCCCACTGGAGGAGGGCGGGAGCTGCACTTTATTAATGCACCAGCAAGTTTAATCAGGAGACAGAGGGGGGAGAGGATGGAGAGGATGGAGGGTGGAGAAGAAGAAAAAAAAGAAGCATGATGGGGGCCGAATGAGAAAAGAGGGGAAGGGAAGGAGGTGAGGAAGGAGGGTGGGAGGGCTGACGAGAATAAGAGACGCAGAAGTGGGGGATCGGAGTGGTGCCTTTTTTGAAGGGGCGAGGGAGAGCGAGTGCAACGCAACGAGGATCAAAGAGAATTGTTACGGGCTGAACTGGAATGCTGCGAACACGGATCCCCTTTCCTGACGAGCCACCACACCTGAGAGCGTGACCACATCAGAACCCCTGCCCGGCCTTAAGGGGCGGATCAATACAGACGCCGCTCGTGCCGTCTGCATGTTGGCCCCCGATGTGGGGAAGTTGTTCTCAACGCACAGAACGCACAGAATACTGATTCTTCGTTCCACCTTCCCGTCTGAATCAGCCAGCGGGACTCTTGTTATTAGGCTGCATCCGTTTGGGTTGTTGTCCAGCATCTCCGTTAATCCGAGACACTGCAGGACCTCGTTGTTGAATTGGGGTGTCTGAAACGAATGTGACCTTTACAGAGGAAATGATTAACCGTGAATCACAGATGCTGATGAGATCTGGTTCCAGTTTGCTGCATGTTTTGGCCTAAAGGTGCTTTAGGAGAGCAAGCTGAGGCACCCAGTCTCTGAAGTCAGAGAAACTACAGTAAGTAGTAATACATCATCTCTCTTGCTTGTCTAAACTACAACTCTTCTGCAGCTAACTCACTTCAGGTTTTAGGATTCATTCTTGCGACGCTCTATAATGGATATATTGGCTGTTGTCCATTCACTTTATTATCTTACAATGAGTCCATAAGCTGTATGCGGCACGGTGGATTTATTAATATCTCAGTTCCCAAACGTCCAGCTATTGGACACAGCATGACATAAACATAATTAAATCATTGGAGTATTTTTAGTTTAATGTATTAACACGCACGCACAAACTCTTGTGCCCAGTGTTTTAGTACTTAGTGCCACAAACAATTTAAATCTGATTTTGGAAGGAGTCCTAACATGAGTACACCTCATCAAAACGTACCTGCAAATTAAAGCTATATTTAATCACAGGACTTCACTGGTGGCTTTGCATGATTCACAATGAAAACAATGTTTTGTAGGTGACGTCTGCATTTGTAAAATCCCGGACCAGTATGTATGAATCAGGCCGCTGTGCTGGTGCCTCGTTGATGCACACGCGGCTTGATTCATGAATTTGCTGCATGGTGCTGCTGTATAACATTATATCTGCGTGAGAGACCCGGAGCGCTTGGAAAGGCTGCCTGCCGCCTGTGCTTAATCAATAAGGCAGCGTTGATGAATTTAGCATAATTAGAGCTGCAAATATGAAATCCGTGGCGGCATTTCCCTGCCGCTCGGCATTAAATTGGTCTTCTCAGGGAAAACAAGAGAATCGATTTTCTTGGCAAAAGCAAGGCACTTTGTGGAGAACGGGGCACTTCTGTGCATTCTGAAGAGGCGGTTTTAAAACAAGAAGATTACCATTTTTATGAGTGCAAATGCGTCGGGTTGAATATTGATAGAAATATAACAGTGTTAAGTCAAACTGTTGGAGGGCAGACTCATATCTCTGGCACTTATGTGGATGTACTGCATGTGCAGCGGGATTCAGGAACAAAGTTATGCTGCACTCTAGCACCTTCACATGGACGCTTTAAAGCACTGTTTAACTGCAGTGCTGACAGTCTCCTGGTGGTAAAATGCGCTGCTGGCTATTTGTCCGTCTGCTACTTAGTTGAAGGATTTTTAAAGGTCAAATGCACTTTTGGTTTCAGGCATTCGGTGTAGAATAAAAAGTCAAACTACAGAGATTGTGATGAGCTGTCATCAGTCTCTCTCCAAATTCCCACATTATAATAGACTTTGAACCTCTGTTAATCTCAGGGTCATATACATTACATTACATTTCAGTTCATTTAGCAGACGCTTTTATCCAAAGCGACTTACTAATATACTACTACTGAGAACTTTGATCCAATGCATAAGAGTCTGGAGACCACGCCTGAGCAGCGAGCCCAGGCGTTACCAAAAGAAGAACGGACAGAGTAGCACTCAGGAGATGCGGCTCAGGGTCTATCTGACCTCCTGAGGGCAAAGGTCACAGGAGAGATTGGGCGACACTGCAGAGGATCGGCGAGCCAGCCGAGCTCTCTGAACTGAATTGTCATCATCACACGCTCAATCCTCTTCGCCCTCACTTATGACATCCGTTTAAATTATTTAACATCTCGTGCTTTAACCACACAGAGAAGAATTTCAAATTAAAGCGGCGAGCAGCGGCGAGCAGCGTTGTTCAGCGTTGTCCGGCGACGGCGCTGTGCTTTTTGCGAGCACCAGAAGTTTAGACAGTATTTGCTGTGTGTTCCGGCAGAGAAGCCAGGTCATTTTGTCAGGTCTTAAGCCGTCAATATTATGAGTTTATCCGACAAAGATCAGAGAAAAAAAGTGTGAATATGATGGCACGTTTGTAACAGGATAAGAATAGAAAGGATAAAGAAATATTTAGTAGAAAATCTCAATAAATAAATACTTGCACTACAAATACAAATTATTTATTATACTGGTTGAAAAAGTGATGGAAAAGGTTCTGATAAAGTTTCGTCGTTTTACTGCAGTTTTATGTATTGCAGTGATTTATGAAAAATCGGCGTCCAAAAATATTTGGTTGAAAAATATTGCATAAAAAAGGCAAAAAATTGTAGGTTGAAAAATGTTACATGTTTGGTTTTAATACAAAGTTTTAAAGTTTTAAAAATTAGGTAAAAAAACGTAATGGAAAAAAAAGGATTTAGTAGACTAAAGTAAGTTTAAATCAAGTCCAATCGGGGAAAAGTTTGAGAAGTCCTTCAGAAAAGCAGCACTTTGCAACAGTTGCCAGAGGGCGCTGTATAAATACAGTTATTGCTTTATGATGTTTATAATGTTAGAGCTTTCCCCTCTGCCAACACATTGTTACGGTTTGTGCGAGCAGAAGGCTTAAAAAGTGCTGACTCAACTGAGGATTGCCAACGCTGACTCGGGTTGCCTCGCAGTTCTTGACTTTCGCTCTCATCACCACCGAGTGAGTCTGCAGCTGATCCGCACTAATCCGCCTCATGTGACGCGTCCACGTGTCTCTGCTTGTGTCGTTTGCATGTGCGTTTGGCTCCACGTGCTCTCTGATGTTAGGAAACAAACTGCAGACGCCTCCAAACTCGCCAGAACCTCCCCAGACAAGTGAGTCTGAGCATTTCCATTTCAAAAGAGTCTAAAGCTTTACGGACGTGGCAGAATGAATGTTTATTAATATATTAACGCCAAAGAAAGACTTATCGCCGATTCTGCTTTTCTTTGAGCCAAATTCGTCCGACAGATGCAGTTAGAATGTCGACGCGTCCTAATCAGCAATGCAGCCGCCTCTTGATCTGATGTCTAAACATCTGTTACAATTCAAATTTACGGATGTGTGGGAATTTTGATCAAATGCACCGTCGCTCAGTTAGTTTCATCTCCTGTTAAACAGATCATCATGACTCCAAAACCATCTTTGAGTGGAAATAGATGGGATCGATGAGCAGCGCCTGAAGACTTTCTTTATTAATTACATTTGTTTTGCCTTTTCTGACTTTTTGACCTTTTTTCGTTTTAGGTGTTTTAATGGATTCCGCTATTGCACATTGTACCACTAAGGTTCTTACTGTTCTACCACCAGCTACTGGATCCAGCCAACCGGGTGGAATAACCTTAACCTTAGAAAGGCCACAGTGTTTTTGTTCTTTTCTATTGTATAATTCTGCTGTTGCAGTGAGACAAGACGCATCACTAAAAAAGTGACATTTAAATCCAATCCTCTTCCGCTGGCATCACCTACACTTCCAGCTTACTCATATCATGTGTGAGCTTACTGCCCTCTGCTGTTCATGCGTGAAGTCAACACAAAGAGGTGATAGATAAGTAGCAAAGTGTTTTTGTGTGTGTGTGTGTGCGCGTGTGTCTCCAATGTAATAGGAGGTAAAGAACATGACCCTCATCTAGCAGTCCACACAATGATTGACGTTCACTTGAAGTGAAGTTTCAGATCGGATAACAATGATATTATTTATTCTTTACTGTGGTCTCAAAAAATACAGCACGGACAAATGAAGCACACGTTTACAATAATTACTCTTACATTAGGGTTTGAATACACAATGCCGTGAAAATACCATCATGCAGACTGTGGTCTTAAAGGCGGTTTTAAAAGCATATGCAATACCTAACTTAACTACAGCACCGTATGCTCCTAACACCACAAATTACTGGTCTGTTATCATAAAGGAAACTGCATTTATATTCTGACAATTAGTGCAAAGCAAGAAGCAAGCAGGAGATGAAGCCAGCATGACACTACCGAGAAGCATCGGCGTCCAACCTCAGTGGGGAGGAGACGCTCTACACCAATAAAACACAATCACGGCAGTGAAACGAGGTCGTACACAAAGTGCTCGTTCATGTGAAGCACAGCGGCCCGCTGAAGAAACAACGCGCGTCAGATGATGAGGCGTCAGTCGGACTAATGCTCCGCGGAGCGTCAACGTTGGGTGTTTTTCGTTCATTTGAACTTGAATTCTTCCTGAAGGCCATCGGCGTCCGTTGTCTAGTCTACGGTCCAAACGACTGGTTTCAAGTGTTCCGTTTTGGACGTGGCCACCTTGTGATTGACAGGTTTGTAGAAGTTATTTTTATTGAGGTGTATTGACATCTTATTTTTGGTATTACAGTAATTGTGATGCATTTTTCCATCCGCTTTTAACTTCCGCGTGCCGTTAGTCTGAAACGTGTACTTCAAATGGAGGAGGAGATTAATGGTGAAAAGGAATAAGAGTGTTGAACACGTGATGGCAGTCAGCTGCAGAAAGCTGTCAGTGAATCTAAGAATACCACGTTACCGAAACATCCTTCTTCCTGCGATGACTGGCCGGTCAACGCTTCTATCTTCAGCATTTTTAACATTTTCACTGTCAGCTCTCGAGTGTTGCCGAGTTAATACTTGATGCTGTGACCACATTCATAGTCTAGAACGTTACGATTCTCCATAAGAAGGTTCTGTGAAGCAGCTACGAACTCATTTTAAAATGAAACACTTAGGCACGCATGTCGCAAATCAATCTACGTTTGAAAATAAAAGTGAATTATTGCTTTGGCTGATACAACAGTGGACACAGTGTCACATTCAATGAACTGAAATAGAGTGAAACAATCGTGAGTGTGATCGCGCGAGGAACATTCAAAACAGAAATTCTGCACGGGCTTAAAGCAAAGGCAAATGTACAGGCTGAAAACCTGTACAACGAAATTTGAGATCATTTTCCCGGATGTTAAAGAAAATGGTTACGAGATGAAGAAGAAGAAGCTCTTTGTTTGATCCAAACTGGGAACTGTGCTGCTCGATTCCTCTTCATCGATGTGTGTGACAGGTTTTCAAGTCATTCTGAACATCGCAGGTTTAAAGGTTCACGAAACAAACCGAAACAAAAGTTTCGGCTCTGACTGTAAATTCTCCACATTCAGAATTTGGCAAGAAGTCTTTTTTGTTTCATTGACAAAAAGTACAGTACAATCTGTATATCGATTACTACGCTAAAAGATGAAACTGTCCATATTGTTAGATAGCTTTTGATTGAATAAGGGCCAGCAACATTTGTTTTACGCTATTAAAACGTATTATTAAATATCCATAGATCTTCATTTTGAATTTTCACATTTAGATTTGTGTGTCTGAAAACCCAACGTTGCCAGAATATTCTGAACCGATGAGCACAACGTTTAATCTATATCTAATATCTAACAGGGGGGGTGGGGGGGGCTTATGAAAGTAAATTTGGTTTGTTATAATAATAAGCACACGGGTCCATAATGGCTGTGATACAATCGTCACTACTAATTAAAGCAAGAATGATGAGTTGTGTGGCGCAGCTACAATCGCTACGGTCATCTGATGCTGGTGGTGTAACGCTGCTGTGAGGGAGTAGAGGCAGTGTGTGTGTACACGTGTACATATATATATATGTGTGTGTGTGTGTGTGTGTGTGTGTGTGTGCGCGCGTGTGTGTGCGCAGCGGCTGAGTGAGCTTTTGGCAGTGACGCGACGCGACGCTAGCTTGGACGAGGTGGGCTGAGAGTCTCCCCAGATGTTTCCAGCGGTTTGAGGGACCATCTATGTGAGGGGAAAAGGTTTTTTTTTGGTGGGGGGGGGGAGTGAGGGATACAGTGAGGGCGGTGCGATGGAGGGTGGAGGGGGTGGGTGGGGGCTTAGAGGTTGACCAGGTGGAGGTTGGAGGCGGAGAAGTGGGGGCACAGAGCCATGTCCGGGTTCTTCAGCTGTCGCAGGATCCTCCGGTGGAACTTGGAGCGGACCCGGTTGAACTCCATGATGTCGCTGGGATCCTCCTCGATCCAGAAACGGTGAAACTCCTGCATCAGGTAACCTGCCATGAAAGGGCCGAGATGAAAACGCAACACGTTAGCATTGAGGGGGGGGGGGGGGTGATTTATTACCGAAAGTTGACAATCAAAGGGGGACTCACAGAAGGTCTGCTGGACGTGCTGCAGGCTCGGCATCTCGGGGGCCACGTTGTACAGGTGGGTCTTCAGAGCTCCGCTCACCAGCAGTGAGTAGGCCAGGTCCGTGATGTTGATGCCCACGATGGCAAACGAGTACCTGGAGGGAGGAGAGCGCCGTTAGTTTTTAGGCTTCTTTAGAAGCTCCAGTCAGAAATGTTTTAGGTGTCGTTTTGCATTAAAAAGTCAAACGCTGTTTTTTTTTCTGGTCCCTTTCTTGTTAAATCTCAGTCATCATTTACATCCCTGCCTTCATAGGCTGTTGGCACCACAAACTGCACACCGGCCCAGTGAAAGGAGCCTGCAGCTCTGCTGGAGGCTCCTCACAGAGCAGCTGGTGTGTTTTCAGAGGCAGCCCTCGCTGCTTATCAGTGACGAGGCAGACTGGAGGCCGAATGCGGCGCAGGAGGACGCACAGCAGCAAAACACTTCCCGTGTACACACACACACACACACACACACACGTGGCCGCATCAGAGAAGCTCTCTGCTGCTGAAACGGCGCTGCATTGAGGCCAAAACGCTCACGGCTCCAGCAGCAGCCCAGTTTTGCCTCCTCCACACACACACACACACACACACACACAGACGCTTACCCAATGGCTTTGTCGATGTTCTTCTGTTCCCATTCCGGCTTGTTAATCTCACTGTGAAGGACACAACACTTACTGTGTACATGTGAAACGGTGAGTGCACCACAGAACCTTCTGAGAAATATTTAAATTACAATTATGGAACATTTTAATGAGCTCAGAATGACCCATTTCTGAAAAAGACGGCAACAGACCTAGAAAATATCTAGAAAGAAATGCGATGGTCTTTATTTGTCTGTTGGTGCAGTTAAGCATTGTTGTAGTCCTCAAACAGGGACTCTAAGTTGAGGTTTGAAACCTGAGGTCAGGTCAAAATGTTGAAATGTTCATAAATATTTAATCGAAATTTAGTTTCATTTTATTTATAACAATAACTGCATGCTCAATTTATTCAGTGTTATTTCAACGCATTGTGAATGTACTGTACTATGCCTTTTGTAATTGCACATTATTGTAGCTACTTTTTTCTATATTCATCAATTTATTATCCATTGCGTCATAGAAATACATTTTTAAAGCATCTGTCAGTGTGATGAGATGACGGAGTACAAACAACATCCCCGGTGCAGCTTTAAATGCATGACATCATGCAAACATCAGCCCAAAGTAGAAAGCTATGAATGCAGTGAAAAGAATGAAAGTGAAATCAAGTACCTTGGTTTTCTGTGTGTGCTCCTACAACAGTGCGTGTGCGAGTCAGAGAGGGAGGCATGGGCATAAAGGTGGAGGTGGAGGAGGAGGAGAGAAAAGAAGAAGGATCTTCATTTGTGAAATGAGACAGCTCACTGAGATGCCGATGACAAACAATACAAGCAGCAGCGCGTTAAGAGAGTGAACGGCATTCAGCTGAAAACGATGGATCGAGCGGAGCAGAACGCGGTGGATGCAGAGCTATAGATGACCGAGTGCAGGGATGCACCACGTGACAGGTAGAAAGATTGTGATGGAACATTCTTTCATTTATTTTGGCCAACATAGGGAAGCATAAGAAGCTGAACACACTCGATAAGGACAGTGTGGCTTCGCCTCTGCAAAGAACCATGAGGACCCGTTTACATCAGAACACCACAGCCGACCAGAGAGCCTTTCTAACCCAATCACTCGGTGCATTCCTTTCATTTTTAATATGCGTTGGGTAAAGAAAAAGAAAAAAAGGTTGTCTGCCGTACTTTTGCTTGGGTTGCAGGGAGTCGTGGAGCATCTGCAGGGCAGTGGCTTTATCGTGTTCTGCGAAATACCTGCAGGGAAACAGGAGGCGTTATTATGTATTATTAAGTACATTTATTCAAGAGCTTGATTAGTTTGCATCAATTAATTCTGTAAAAGTCCAAATATAATATATATCTCCTCTCTGGGTTAATCATTGCATTAATATCTGAGTGAGCTCACAGCAGGTTGTGCAGGCCCAGCAGGCCCATGCCTCTGAAGTCCGTCTTAGGGTCGCTGCCTTGGAAACCGATTTCACACCACTGCTTAGAGATGCGACCGGCGAGAGGGCTGTCCGGGCGCAGCTCCTTCCACAGCTGCAGCACACACACACACACACACACACACACAAAGGTCGCGGGGTCACTGGAGTTCATTCCAGCATGCATAGAAACAGCCGCATACCTTCATCAGCATGTCCTCGTGCTCGGGGTTCTCGCAGTCGTACGGCTCCCTGCGCAGCTTCTCCACCTCCGCCACCAGACTCCTGTAGCCCACGATCTGCAGCAGGCTGGCCTGGAGAGAGATGCTCAACCTGGGGGGGCCGCAAAGGGGAGGGGAGGGGGGCTGTTTGTGTGAGGGGTTTCGGATCTTGTAACAATGCAGTACTTTGTTAAACAGCCAGCCTGAGGATTTAGTCACAGAAATGTGTTGATGTGATGCGGCGTCTCACTGGGGGTTGGTGTCAAGATTGATCTTCTTCAGCGCCATGATGTCGTCGATGGTTTTCTCCACTTTGTCGGGGTGGACGCTGAGGGCGGACTGCAGCAGCTGGAGAGGACGAGGGCAGGAAAGAACAGAAATATGGCGGAGGAGGAGAAAGTGAGTCGTAAACAGCCTGAAGAGAGAACATTGTGGGAAAATTCATAGATTTAGAGACCTCCGTACCTCATTCTTGGAGTACCTCAGGGAAGATTCTGCAAGGAGTGGTTACAAAGTGTAAGATGACTGCATACATTAGCAGTATTACTATGATAGCAATGATTGTGTGAAGCAGTTTTCTGCAGAGATTAACTTTAGAAACGTCAGACCTATCTTGTGGGTCCTGCGAGCTCCGGGCTTCTTGTTGTAGCAGATTCGCTGCAGCTCGCAGCGGCCCGTGAACTTCCTGGCGACGAACTTGAGGCCGCGCCACAGACATTTACAGTAGAGGAACACGAAGAACTGTGTCACCACTCTGGAGGGGAGAAGACGAGAGGGCCCTTGATGGGTAGAACCGTAGAGTATTTCACAGGCGAGAATGCAAATGGAGGCGTGTGTCTCGGGAAATTCCAAACGAACCATTAAACTGTAAACTGGCTAAATGTTTTCAAGACTTGGCCTTCACTCCGCAGTGCACCTTTCAGACAAAAGAAACGATTGGACTTGTTGTTGCGTCATTATCACATCTGATTTCCTGATTCTCTGAGCGCTTTTTCCATTTATTTTCAGGCCAATAATTGGCAAAAAAAATGAGGCCGAACCTACAATCCCCCCTCTGTGGGCCACACGGGCAGGCCTCACTCTCCCCTTTCTCCCGTTCTCCCGAGTCTACAACCTTTTCAGGCAGAAATAAATCCTCCTGATGCTGACTGAGCGCAGCATAACACCATCCGCCATGTCGACATCAAAAGCAGTAAATACACGGTGCAGAAGGATTAATTCCTCCTGCTGGTCGTGTGGACGAGACCGTCATGTTAAACAGCTCGTGAGGACGCTGTGATCTTCTTTGCCTTCGATGAAGCGACCAATGAGAGCGGGAGAGAGACGGTGGAGGACTGACTCGAAGACAATGTGACACTGAACTTAATTTTACTATACACTTTGTTGTAGTGTATCTTATTAATTAATCAATTAACAAGGACAAAGGTATTGATACGCCCTGTAATTGCTAGTGATTTATACCTGTCATTTGGTAGGTCTTGGTGCAATTTATTCTTAGTAGTTGGTTGCAATCTTTACTAAATCTTACCCACCTGTGTGAGTTACAAGAGGGATTTGAATCAAATCCTCTCCTTTTGATTGGACAGCCTTACAGTTTAGATGAGGAGGTGAACGATGGAGATCATAAGGAAACTATGGTCTTCTGTGGGTGTCAGAGGGATTAGAAGTTGTGAGTTTGGGCCTGAAGATTACTAATGCTGCAAAGACAGGAACGTGTACAATACATTCTTTAACGTAAAGAAGCCGTTAGTTTCAGTTTGAAAAGTCAGTGTATCTTCACCAAGATCCCCAACTGAAGTGCTTCACTAAATCACTGGAACAACCTTTTAAATCCTCCCCGGTACTCGGCTCAGCCAAAACCATTAAAAGCTGGACTGTGAATCATGTTACCATCAGTAAACTATTACCACAGTTCTAGCACATTAGTATAATTACTGTAAAAAACAAAACTGTCAAAGACATCAGTAAAGCCCACTTGGCAGCCTCAGCGGGGCTCCACTGCACATTAAAGCTAATTCGGGCTAAATAGCAGAAGGAGTAAAACGTTTTATTATCTTAGGGGGCAGGACACGACGGGACGTATGCGATATCCGAACTGAATTGGAAGCTCTAGTGAGAGAAAACTCCTTTTTATCTGTTGTTTTATTGGCCTGTGGTGCCCAGACAATCAGATAAATGATTTACTTTCATTCGCATTATCTTACTTTATACACAGTTCTGACAGTGTGCCTGAAACACCTTAGAAAATCAGTAATGTCACTTATACAAATCTACAAGATTAAACATTTGGCCTTTCTGTTTAACGTTACATTGCAATCTTTTGATTTTCTTTTTATATATATATATATATATATATATATATATATATATATATATATATATATCAATATGGATAAATCAACAGCTCTATTAACAGAACCGCCACTTAGTTTATGCTGGTAATTAAGAGGCCTCCTCCATCAGCAACCCACTCAAACCAGTTTACAGCCCACCAGCCACTTACTGGCCACACAGTAATCGAGTGAGTTTACATGGGAGGACTGGGAATTTGGTATGAACGAGGCCATCCCAGTAGATGGGGGACTGAAGACGGGAAGTCAGGCCAGTTCGGTTGACTCCCTTCACGTTTTGACATAAATTAAAACACAAGCGTAGCTCCGGCATCGTTTGCTATCAATGGAGTCTCTTTACCTCAGAAAATGCTTCATCTCGGCCGCGGTCACCGCTCGGAGACGGGGTGGAGGTGAAGGGGGACGGGGGAGGTTCCTTGGTGGGGGTTGCTAATCCACCTGCGGACGGAAAACAGAGGAGCCCACGGTGGGTTAGACGTCCCGGGATGAGGCCGGCGGGAGCTGTCCGCGGTGCTGAAGGATGAAAAGCATGCAGCGATCTGCAGGCTGCTTCGTCGTCTCTTTCTAACCCGATGCCCCCCCCCCCCCCCCCCCCCCCCAGAAAAAAACCTCCCCACCAACGGTTATTGCAGCGTTCCTGCTCAATGTCGTCAATCCATGCAATGAAACGAAAGACGCACGGATTATTTCGCCCGTCGCAGAGTCGTAATCCGGTAAAACCAGATAATTAATGCTCGATGGTCTACGGTCTGAACTGCAAACCGAACCACGGAGCGCGTTGGATAATCCGCGTGACAGACAACACGCATGCAATAAAAGAGGACGTTTCCCACCTACCGATTGAAAATAATAATAATAATAATGATGGTGATACAGCGGGCGAGACGTGAGAGGCGGAATGCGGCGCTTCGGTCCTCTTCACTGGGCTGCAGTCCTCTGCTGTCCCTCCATGATGATGATGATGATGATGACCCACCAGCGGAGGAGGTTTCACGTCTAAAAGCAACAGCAACGCAGTGCCAATTCTCACGGGACGTGTGAGGCCCCTCCCTTCTTCAGAGAGCCGGTGGCCAGATTTCACCCTGCCAGTCTCCTGGATGACATTATATTTAGTTTTATATAATGCAAGCATTTTAAATGGACGGCCCTCCTGTTATTGACAAAGACGTAAAAATATAAACTTAAAAGGCGTTTGCGGCTCAAAGCCTATTAAATACTGCTGGATCAGTGACCTGTGGCAAAGTGCTACAGGGGCCACAGCAGGAGCCATAGGCCATTAATACCTAACGGTCCCTCCACCACCTGGTTTAAATTGCAACAACCGTCTATGGCCACTTGGGGGCAGTGCAACAAGCTTTAAAAATAATTATTAAAGTGTTTTTTTTTTAAATAGATGTTTACGTTTCCGAGAACCATTGACTTTTCTTCAACTGGTACCACTGCATCATACCAAACTCAGCCAGATATAAATTCCATTGTTAATGGCTCTGTCCATAAAATAAATGTCAATCACAGGTTCCCGGAGACCAATTTGACCGTATGTCCCGTTTAGTCAATTAACAAATCGATTAGTTCAGTAATAATTTCAGCTCTGATTTCAGATTAGCTCAACATATAAAACTAGAGGCAGGGAGAATTGTTGTGATGAGGGTCCAGAATATTTCTCTTTGAAATAAATAAGTGACAATGAAAGGTCAACATATTATGGGGGGAACTCGTTTTTTTTTGTCCAAAATGTCTTCAAATAATTCATTTATGGCCTAAAGATTTTTTTTGTGAGGTCTCAGTTCATCTTTAATTATTAGAGGATGTTTGCACGGAATATGAAGAAATTCCCTCGAGACGTTCCTGAGAAGTAGTGTTTAAGAAAACAAGAACAAGAACAGAACTTTGACCAGAGGCATAAAAAACACACACATTACAGGTAATTATCACAACAACCAAACAGACACATGGGTCAAGTCATTGGAAAAGAATGAAAACCCAGTTTAATATGAAAATCTATTTAATTGTAAAAAAGGGAAACCTCTGCACGTCAACATGCTTTTCACCATCCAAAAAAAAACAAAAACCTTGCGATCTACAGTTTGTCTGGTAACTTACCAAATAAAAATTGTAACGGCACCATAGGCAACAAGAATACAACTTTGTGATCGCTTTCAAATTCCTTAAAATGACGTAAAGTGGCGGCTGATGTGAAAACGTGTACTTGTACACTGGCGTCTCTTGTCCAACCGGTACACTACACCTTGGACACTTGTCACAGCGCAGCCGGCAGCGTCTCGGCGCCCGGAGTGTCTCCGCCTGCGGACATTCGGCGGTCCGAGGAGCTCTCGGCCGTCAGGTCGGCGCCGCCGTCGTCCTCGTCGGAGCCGGACTCCGGCAGAGCGGAGTAGGTGGGAGCGGCGTTGAACATGACGAAACCCACGGTGATGACGAGAAACGAGACGATGTACAGCGTGGAAAACTGAGGACGAAGAAAAAACACCCGGAGAAGGACGTGCATTACACATCGGCACCTCGTCCATCGCAATATACCGTATAAATGTCCGAGTGTTTTACAACATGTTCATGACCTCTTTCTATTATAACCTTTATCTACTTAATATTTTAGCTGATGCATCATTTTACAGCACGTTTAACATATTATACTATAAACTTTGGATTTATTGCTACAGAATCCTTTTTAGTAATGTATATCACTTCCTGAAGGTCAAGGAAAAGCAGAGCAATCATATAAATAAAAGAAGAAAAAAAAATGCACACGAGATTAAAGTGGGATTTTAAAAACAGGTTTCAAGGCAGCAAAAAGGCCATAAATCCCATTAGACGCGATGAGCGTGTCCCCGGGCCGCACTCACCGCGTAGTGGAAGAAGTAGAGGCCACAGAAGAGGCTGAAGAGGTCGGCGGTGAGCAGGGAGAGGTTGACCGCCGTGGCGCTGGTCATCTTCACCACCACGGGCATGAAGCTGTACAGCGCGTACATGCACAGAGCGTAGACCGCAAACAGCACGGCTGCAGGACACAACCGGACGGACGTTAGCGAGGCGCCAGCGCGCGCGCTCCAAAGCACTCGCATTTAACGGGGCAAGGACGTCAAACTTACAGATGCAAAGGTCCCATTTAATGGCCGCCACTGCGCGCGTTTCCAAGGCGGCTCTGTAACGGCACGTTTATCATGGTCAGGGAAGCCCGTCTCTTACACCCCAACAGGAAACATAGCAACGAAAAATCAAATAAAAAGGAGCTGTAGCCTCAAGTTTTTAGTACGCATTGGAATAAAAGAGGGATTTGAACAATAACCCACAGCTGTATGCCGCTGATGAGGGTCCCGAAAAGGCCCATCATGCCCAGGAACTCGACCCGGCTCAAGTTCTTCACCGTGTACTCTTGGCCCACGTTGGACACGGCATAGAGGACGGCGCTGAGCAGGACCAGGCCGTCTCCCAGCACCACGTCACTGGCTGCACAGAGAGAGATTTATCCTTCACTTTGGTATCTTATTCAATTTTCTATCTGCATAAAGCGCTTTGTCCATTGTTACCATAACTAATGGAATGTGACGCCTAACATTATAACTACATCAGCAAGAAACTTAATAATATATTAAAGATTTAGTGATTACAGAAATAAGCAAGATAGTTGTTTATTTAGAAATATGGCCTTTAATAACAATAGAGACCTTTAACAGTCCTCTTGTATATTTCAGGCTTTGACTTTACTTTATTCGTCAGACAGACAATCAGACTATCGCAGCTTTCTAGCTGCAAAACCCCCCCCAAAAAATGGTATATAACCTTTAGGTGTAACACTGATTCTCCTGTCTGAGCAATGGCCGTGGATGGAGGACATCTTCATCAATAATTCACTTTCTATATTTTTCTTACCGATATAAATGACCGCTCTTTATTTTTTATTTTTCCCCCCTCTAAGTGTCCTTACTGGATCCCTGGTGTCTTTCTGCAACGATGTCGGCTCCCACCATGGCGCCCACCCCCAACAAGCACACCGCCACGGCGACAAAGTGCACCAGCCTGTAGCGAGTCTTCAGCAGGAACCAGGAAAGCACCATCAGCACGGGGATCACAAAGCAGTCCAGCAGCTGCAACACACAGTCGAGCACGACGGCTAACTGGCGTTACCCACATGGAGGTGTTGACGGAGGACAGGAAGGTAATAAAATCTAAGTGACATCACATGTTAAACGACGCAGCAGGCCTTCACAATTAAATAACATCCGAGGTGAAGTTGGGTTCAACCAAGAGTTGCTTGAAATTGATTAATCTGCTACTACCTTTTTGAAATCTTAAAATGTGCAGTTACATTTTTGTTAATACTTTGACTTCAACGATACACGCACTAAATAACAGACGTCGGCAGTCCTGTTTATGTAAAAGCACCTCACCTGTATACTTGTCAGGGTGGTGAACTGGTAGGCCTTCACCACCGCATAGTTTGCCTCGACATCTGCCACACCCATCAGCAGATACTTCCACCACTTGGTTTTTAAAACCTGCAAGATGTTCCTCTCGCCTGAAGAAGAAGGTTGACTTGAGCGTTAGGGTGGTGAAAGTGTAGCTGAGAAAATGCCCAAAGTGTCTGTTTACAGGAGTTTGTACACAAAGAGACTAAATGTTGAAGCATAATGACATCAACAAGTTTGAAACCCATTTGTGCACATCTGTTTTGATGTCAATTAAGGCCAAAATAGCAGAATTTGTAGCAGCTTCTTCATTAAATTAAACAACTTTTGGTCTTATTTAATGATAAATTCCCCACAAAGTGAAGCTGTTTTAATTGTATTTCTACAGTTTCCTGCCTCTCTGCTGCTGCCGATGCTCCCGTGTAGCCAGAGAATCATTCATTGCAGGTTTAAACGATGCAACCCAGACATGCTGACCTTTGCGGGTGCAGAGGGTGGTCGTGTAGACGAGGAGCAGCAGGGCGTAGTTGAAGAAGCTCTGCAGCATGGGCGTCTCCACCCCAGCAGTGACCAGGTACTGACAGCTCACTGCCGTCCCACAGATCAGCAGGGACAGGACCTGCCCCATGAAGATGGTCTTCAGCAGACGCCTGGTGGGTCAGGGAGAGCACCATGTGTCGGTTACACCACAAGTTAAAACCCTAGACGTCGGTATAATAAAGAGTTGGCGATATTAAGGGGAGACACTACGACAGAATAGGGCATTTTGGTAATCGATACATCTCAGTTGACTACATACATTAAGACAATGTTATAGATTAAGTTAAGTTTTTTTTTTTTAAATAGTTTAAATAAGCTAAATCATGCAATACCTTATTAGATATGCACTCACCATGTGAACACATCCCTCAAGTTGTAACTGTACAAACCACAGGCAAACTTCCATTTCCCACACAGTCTCTCCTCGCCGTGCACCTCCATGTCTTTGATAGCTAAATCTAGGAGTGGAGAAAAATATGAGAGATGACAGTCTTCATGGATTTATGTCTTTACGGCTTACTGTCTCTTCTCAGAAGAATGTGATTCCAGGAAGAACACCAAATCTATACAGGAATGTGACGTGGCTCATGTGACTGATGAAGCTTACAGTAAGATTCCCACTAACATCATGGTCCGCGAGAAAAATGGGACAAATCCGGAGTGCAAAACACACATGTGAGTTGCTTTGACCCGGGTTAAATTTGACTGCGGTCAACGCTGCAGACGCTTGAATCTTAGTGCATGTGTACGCTGATATTTACGGTATTTAACAAGCAACCGGAATAAAAGCAATTTAATCAAATATTCTATATAGACAATGACTGAAGTATGTGTGTTCAAGACCATTCTGACTACTGTTGTACAAAAAAGTGAATACCTTTACTGTGCAAAGTTATATAATTATCCTACATTTCAAAAGGACCATTTCTCAAAGTTTGAACTGCAATAAAAACGAAATCCCTCAATAGTTGCAGGCAAAGACCAATGCATGTGTGTTAAGCACCTCTCTGACTACCAGCATGCTGAATATGAAGTGTTTTTACTGTACAGATTTGGAGATTTATTCAGAGAAATTTGTGTAGAAAGTGTAGAAATGTGTACAGTAAGGACAATTCATTTATTGTACAAGAGTAGTCAGAGAGGTCATGTACACACATACTTATATCATTGTCCGGAATTTGCTATTTAAAAAGTATTTATTCTGGTTAGTGTTTACTACCGTAAATGTCAGCATATACGTGCACTACAATTCAAGTGTCTGCGGAGTCGACCACGCGAATCCGAGTGTCTGCGGAGTTGACCGCAGTTTAATTTGGCACAGGCTACAGCACAGCACGTTACGGCACGGCACGGCTTACAATGGAGGCGGTGGCGCTATCAGCGAACATGTGGCCACATTTTACGCACGTTTAACGAAGATAAGTCACACATTTTACGTAAGCCGAATCTGAAAAGAGGCCATTATCATGTGTAATATGTTGTTAAATGCGTTGAAGCAGGCATCGGATCAGGGTTATGACCACAGCGACGTCACACTGACACACTTCTCCGCAGCAGTTTGGCGTTTCGTATTCTACGCGCCGGGGACAGCGTCATTCGCCGGGCTTTCAGGAAACTACAAATAAAGAAATACGACCGTGACACGAGTACACGCTTTATTCTGACCATTACCGAGTAATGTTAAGAGTACGTACGTTTTCTGCTTCCTCTTCAGTCATGGCAAGTGTGAGGAATCTCCAGTTGATAAAGAAAAAAAAGTCATGATGCTTATAATCCACGTTTGTACCTCACCTCACCATTAATGAGTCAACCTAGCATCGTGCTTTTTTAGCCCCGCCTCCTGTGCCCTGATTGGTTGAGATAAAAAACTAAATGATGTCCGCACAGCGAGGTTGAAATCGGTCGGGTGCTGAGGAGAATAAACAGTATAATATGTGACTGAGGCCATTGGTGTAAACCAGTTTGAGATGATATGAGCTCTGTGAGGGATGCATATGGTCAGCAATAATATACGGGTAGGTTGTGGCATTTAAACGATGCTCAGTTGGTACTAAGGGGCCCAAAGTGTGTCAAGAAAGGATCACCCACATCATTACAGCACCACCAGCAGCATGAGCCATTGATACATGGCAGGACGGATCCATGCTTTTATGTTTACACCAAATTCTGACTTTACCATTTGAATGTTGCATATGGAATCTGAAATAGACTCATCAGACCAGACCAATTTTTCTAATCTTCTATCTCTGTCTTCTGCATGCCTAAATGCATTGAGTTGGGGCCATGTTATGTATGTCACATGGTATATAGACACACACACATACTAATGTAGTGATTATTTTGCTTATTCACACAGGCATTGAGATGAAATCAACTTAATCAAAATAAATTGCACGTATAATTCAAGCGAGAAGTTACCCATTGCTATAGTTCAGATTGCTCAGCCAGAAATAAATTAGGATATTGATACCACTAATGCATCTAAGTAGTTTCTCCAGCACCAAGAAAATACGGCAAGAGACCTTTCGGAATCGTGAGCATTTTATCTTTTCAACTACATTTTTAACTTTATCTTCATACCAAATCTGTCCTTGTTCTGTCTTTGTACAACAAAACCTTTGACCAAGACGGCCAGACAGAGAAAGAATGATAACAAACATTATACTGATTGTAAGAAACAGTCTAATTGTCCTTGAATTTGTGTAAATGTTTCTTTACCCCAGAAAACACACAATGCAGACACAATACACAAATTGTACAGAGAATGAACTCAATGGGATTAAAGGAACAGCAGCAACATAGTACTCGATAACAAGTTAAAGTGCTGAATACAAAATGTTGAATAAATATAGAGACGTTTCATCACAAAAAAAAACAAGTATGTAAAGTAGTTCAAGTTGGTCAAGCCACAAGATTTGTGAAGCTTCCAATAATAATGTGTCGATAATTTTAATCTAATAATACAAAAACTTTTTTTTGAAATTTGGACATTTTGCATATTGAGTACATTTACTTTTTATATAGTTTACACATTTTTGCCCCAGTGACCTTTTGGAATACATGTATTTCTCCACCGGTGCTTTTACTTGAGTGATGGATAGAAACACTTTTTCCACCAACGTTGAATCGTCTTTGCCGATCAAAATTATAACTGTAAAACGGACACACATGAAATGATCAAATCCACACAAAGTTTTTAACCGGTGAAAGACCATTTGCATCTATTTTTAGAAGAAGTCGACGATGTGATTGTGTTATTCTTCACGCAGTTCTCGCGAGATTTCACGAGAGGATAAGTTGGGGCGAACATGGCGACGTCTAATTTGCTAAAGGTAGGACCCCGGTCCAATTCAATCATGTTTGTGTGTAACGCTCGCTAAAGCGCGTGTCACTTGCGCGGTGCAATGTGGCCGTTTAGCTCCCGACTCGAGAAACACGACGAGGCGCCTTCGACCGGGACCAAGCCGACTTGAGCTCGGCAGCAGTTAAACCCAAGTTACATCCAGGCTAACATCAGCTAGCTACTTATCACTGATTATTTTTTAGCTAAATATAATAGCCGCACCAAAGCTAACTAACGTGAAACGAGAAGGCACCGGGGGAGCGGCTGAAAACGGGAGGCTACCAACCGGGGACGGGAGCGTCGGCTTAGCCTGCCCTGACACATCAGTGCTATTCGGGTATAACTGTTAAAAAGCTAGCTTCATATATCATCTGTCACTCCAAAGACAGGACCCCCCTCCGCCCCCCGTACCCCCCCAACGAGGAGGCTGCCAGGTCGCAACTGTCTCCCTCTGCACTCGTGTGAACGCCAATCCGCAGTTGCCGCCGTGCTAACTTAAGTTTTAGCTCGACGGGAACCGTTTAATGAATTAAAATGACAGTTATTGTGTTCTCAAACCAGAGCGCCGCGGGGAGGCGACACCGCTGCGGGAGCAGCAGCCTGTCGGAGCCGAGGAGCGTCGCCGCGGGGAGAAAGATGATACTGCAGTAAAAGCAGGAGACCTTTGCATTAGAAATGAATCTCGGTGTCACGCTGTATGCGGACGGGAACCTTGACACGAGAACGTTTAAAGCGCTTCACTGCAAATGAGGAATAAACGTCGCTATAAAACGCGCATTGCGCTTAAAGTATTCGTGAGCGATGAGCGGGACTAAAGGGTGATACTTACTTAACTAAAGCCTTTTCACTCTGTCATTTTATTCCTCCAACCCGCTACAAATCAAAGGAAAATATATGTATAATACACATTGTAATTGAATAAACCATGATTTTTATTTTCCGCATTCATCAGACGAACACATTAGTTCATCTATGATTATAATCCGGGGAAGGGTTCCTCTGAGATGGGCCATTCTGGATGCACTTTTTCGTAGGTGTTTCTGCAAGCCTGTAGCTTCACTTCAGCGAGAGTTTCAATGCATCACTGGCTTTACTGGATTGAGTGTTTCTGCACTGTAGCGCTGGTACTTTTATTTAAGTAAAATGGGCCGAGCTCTACTTCAAAAGCATGATGACATTCATAGACTCACACATGTTTATGTTGCTCACAGCTGGGAGAACATCATTTAACAAGCTTAGGTTTTAGACCTATAATATACACTTCACACCACAGCCTGATACCCAGCAAAGGAATTCAAATCTTACTTTAGTTTGGTTTGAGAATACCCCCCTGATAACTTCCCATTGTTTATTTAATTTGCAATTTTGCTACTGCGTTTACCTTTTAGTTAGATTTTCAGCTTCATTTTACTGTCCTCATTCTCACTGTCTGCAAACGGCAATGGAATTAAGTATAATCTGATCTAAACCTTTATTATACTGTTTTATACAATAAATGATTACGCTTGACGGAGTCAGACTACGGGGAACAACCCAAGGTTTTCCTGTTACTTTTGTTCTTCCGGTGCAGTTGAACGGTATCTTACCCTAAAGTTTTTTGTTTTGTTCCCATTTTCCTACCGATTTTCCTAAATCTCACGGACAGTTTGAACCAAGTAGTTCACTTCCCTCCTGTCTGTTTTCAGAACAAAGGCTCCCTTCAATTTGAGGACAAATGGGAGCTGATGCGTCCCATAGTACTGAAGCTGCTGCGGCAGGAGTCCGTCACCAAACAGCAGTGGTTCGACTTGTTCTCGTGAGTTCACCCTAATGCGTCTGCTTCCCGGCTTCGGCGTCGCTGACGTTGAAGCGAGCGGGGCGCAGGCGAATTTGTTAAGAAAGGTCCTTCCTCGTTGTTTCACAGAGACGTGCACGCTGTGTGCCTGTGGGACGACAAAGGTCCCGCTAAGATCCACCAGGCCCTCAAAGAGGACATCCTAGATTTCATCAAACAAGCACAAGCAGTAAGACGGCCCGCTTTTACCGAAATGTATCCCTGTTTTTACACAGCAAACCGAGTGTGTCTTTCTAACCACCCCGATCATAAACTGTGGTTCTTGCTTAATGTCTGTCAATTAGATTCTTTAGGTTCTAACCGGGCCCGCCTTGTGCTTCTCACCGTTTTCTAAGCGGGTGTTGAGTCACCAGGATGACACGGCGTTGCTGAAGGCCTACATCGTGGAGTGGAGGAAGTTCTTCACACAGTGCGACATCTTGCCCAAGCCTTTCTGTCAGCTGGAGATCACTCTGATGGGCAAGCAGGGAAGCAACAAGAAGTCCAACGTGGAGGACAGCATCGTCCGCAAAGTGAGGAGGGGCGGGTAAAAACCACAACCGGCATGCCGCGCGTGTCCTCGTAAGTCTGACCGCGTGTCTCCGTCTCTTCAGCTGATGCTGGACACGTGGAACGAGTCCATTTTCTCCAACATCAAAAACCGGCTACAAGACAGCGCCATGAAGCTCGTGCACGCCGAGCGGCTGGGAGAGGCCTTCGACTCCCAGCTGGTCATCGGAGTGAGAGAGTCCTACGGTGACCTGCTTTGTACAATAAATAGTTTAGAGCAGCTTATGATTACCAACATACTACAGCGCGGTTATGATATGGTTATAAGATATGTTTATGTTTATCAGGAATCAGGAAACACTTATTGCCAAAATATGTCAAACATACAAGGAATTTGTCTTGGCAGATGGTTCCTTTTCCTTCACCATACAATTTAATTTATAACTTCTAAATACTTAATTATTGTTGGTGTTTATCAGCTGGAATGTGTGGATATTCAACTCGTTCAGTTTTATTGCACTTTACTTCAGTTTTAAGATTTACTTCATAATTTATGTCCTTCGTTGTAAAACTTCTTTGATCTCAACACGGCTCTCGTCCCCACGATCTCTTTCTCCGCCGTCACTATAAATACAGCTCAAATACCTCGTGAGAAAGTATTAATCAGATTTTCTGCTCCTCACCATGTGATTCATATTTTGACTTCAACTGCAAGTCCTGCCGTTTGAAAAGCATATCTATATGTCTGATTCAATTTTTGAAGCTGCACAAATGCCTTTATATTTTAGAAACTTTGAAAAGTTTTTCACTTCCACTTTTCAGCTATTTTGCGTACGTCCATTCCATAACAAATCTCTTTTAATTCCAAGATGCAACGTGGAAAAATAGGAAATCCATCAAGACGTTCGCATCAAGTTGTCTCACCTCCCTCAGGCGCTTGTGATGTCTA